ATTGCGGTCATTGCGTAAACGTGTAGCTGATCTTGAAAGGAGGCTGAAAGCCACTGAAGTTCACCTTTCTGAAAAGAAAGAGACTGCAGGGAATGAAGATGTTAAAGGAGATGAAGCCCAGAACAATGTGCAAACAGAAGAGGTAAATGTCTGCACTTTTGTTATTTTGTCTGTACTTCAGTTACATATTGTCTGTATCGTATATTTCAGTAAGTAAGAAATGACTTTGTGGGAACAAACAAAAATTTACAAAAATTGTTTCAATCAAATTGTAGGTTGTTCAAGAGGATAGAGCTAAGGTGAATACCGAAGTACGTGAAGAACTTAATGGAAAAGGAGCATGTCAACAACCTGACATGGTAAATGTCTGCAGTTGTTTACATTTGTTTGTATCTGGTTTTGTGGTTGTCTGTACAATTTGACTGGACCATATATTCTTGTTTATGATATTGTAAAACATTCTGTAGGCTGTGCAGGAGGTTAGAGCTGAGGAAGGAGATCACGCTACTGTCGGGACGGGTGATGGAGAAGTTGTAGTCGGTCCATGTTTTAACGATGTACATTTCTAACCATTTGACATTGTTTCTCCTTGTTTAAGGATGCGGATTATGAGTGGGTCGGGACACCCAAAATTTAGGATGTTTAAACACCATTAAAAACACCATTGCATACATTGTTTTCATATGTTATTTATGTGTAGTAATCTTCCGAACAGATATGTCAATGTCTAGACATTGTCATCAAAAATGTGATGAATGATGTAAGTGTTGTCAAGGTAAATTTGTCGTATTGTTTTTCAAATCACACATTTTGTGATTTATTTTACATTGTTTATTTGAAATTTTAAGTTGATGTTGATGAACGAAGAACATGATTTATTTGAAGAATGTCATACCCCACGAGAGTTGTTGTTCACGAAAGAGGTGCACTTATTTTGATTTGTTTTGTTTACATTTCACTTCTCCTAACATGTGAATTTGAAACAGAACAGGTATTGTCTGCGTGCAGACATTCTGTCCTCACTGTATGATGTCTGCTTACAGACAAATTTTTAAGTATGTGTTGACTTTAGGCTTGTGTAAGTGTGTAGTTTCCCGTTGAGACATTAGATGAAATCAAGTTTGAGAATGATGATTGGGAGGACGTTGTAGATGAGGATACGACACTAGATGCAGATGAGGATACGACACTACTGACTGACCCCCTTAATGCGGATTTAACCCGTCTTTAAATTTCTATGTATCGGTGTTCTCAATTGGATGTTGATGTGTATGATTGGTTGGAATTAAAGAATTGGATTGACCAACCGGGTCATATTGACCCTACACGGGTACACCTTCTTGTACCCGGGTTACCTGATATGGATAGAAGTTTTTTTCGTGACCTCCTTGTGCCTGAGAAATGGTTGATGAGTTATGTAAGTATATATCTACAACCTTATCATTCACATAAGGTTCAGTAATGTGTTGTGACTTTGTTAAGTTTGTAATTTTTTATTGTAGCACGTTGATGCTGTCGTATACTTGCTGAATAAGGAAAGCACAAGGACGAAATGTGCTTTAAAGAGTCCATATTTTATGGTAAAGTAATCTACATTTATGCATAATTAGTACTTATTGACACACTTTAGTAATCATTTACCCATTTCTATTTTGCAACAACTCTTGAATAAAAAAAATTGACAATGAGGCACACTGGGAAGGAGATCGTCATCTCGTGAAAACAAATTGGACTTCCTTGGATAAAGCATGTTTTTGCGTACAGACGTTTTGATGTACTAAATGTCTGCATACAAACATTTAACATATGTAGTTGTAATTGTCTTCGGGTTTTCACCTCTTAATGTGGATGATATGCATTGGGTTTTGGTTGAAATAGACCTCCGAGCTAAATTCCTAAGACTGTATGACTCTTTACAAAGTGGAAGGACCGTTTCAAAAGTAAAAAGAATTGTGTGAAAGGCTCCCCCACCTACTGCGTGTTATAACTTTGAAAAGCGACGATTGCGTTGAAGACGACATCAAGCCTTGGCAAGTTGTTTGCGTTCATGTTGTCCCCAACCAACGAGGAGGGTAAAACATCCATTAATCCCTTGCACATTTACAATTGTCTGTCACACTATAAGAGCGTATAACTATATTGTTTGTGTAATGCGCAGCGGTGAATGTGGAATGATGATGTTAAGTATGGCGGAACACCTCATGTTGGACCTCCCGTTGATACCGGGGTGCGAGTACGCCAACATGCGCAACAAGAGGTGTGAGTACACAAAACGACTTTGGAAGATGAGAGACAACAAAGAATGATGTCAACTTATGAAGAATGATGTACACTGATGTATATTTTTGTTATATGTAATTACAAAAACTTTGGTGGATACTCATATTTTGCCAACTTAGGTGTAACATTATTTGGTGGTTAGATGTACTATTTTGTACAATATTGGCGGTGCCATGTTGTACAATATGGATACAATGTGCATGCCTTTTTTTGTCTTGGCAAAGCTATATCTTAAACCACTTGTAGCATGATTTACAACAAAACAATGATATATAAAAATATTTTTTTGCAATCCGTTTAAGCGAGTGGTGTGAACTTCGTATTGCAAAGCTATATGTTACAGACATTTTGTGGGACTCATGGGGTGATTATGATTCCAATACAGACAAATTAATGGACTAAATGTCTGTATACAAACATTTATCTAAATTGAAGGTTATACCACTTGTAGCATTATTTACAAGAAAACAATTATACAAAACAAAACACATTGTTTTCGCTGTCCACACTATATTATAGGACTACATATAGTTTTACATAAATACAATGTAGTAATGTAGACAAAGACTTTGAGTTGTCTGCGCCACAGACATTTCAGTACCAAGTTTCATTAACAATTCAAAAGAGAGAAAGATTCAAATCTAAATCATCTTGGTAATGTAGTGTGGGCACCTCAGCAATAGCAATGTCCGGTGTGGGCAGCTTTTTTGGCGCCCTTGCCTGAAGTAAAATTGGTAAAATTATATTTGTGCATATGTGTTCATTGTCTGTACAAGTTTAAACATTGTCTGTTGTTCACAGAAAGTGCAAGGCAGCATACCTTTGCGTTAGTTTTCCCCTTTTCTAGTGGCCCCTTCAAACGAGTTTTCCTGGGAGCATAACTTATGTATGCATACCTACTTCTATTATCCTCCCAAAATACATTTCTCAAGCGTGCCTCATCATCTAAATCAACACTAAAGAAGAAATCGGGACATTGTGCTTGCATTTTAGAAAAAAATGCGTGTATAGCCATTGCATCACCACTTCCTAGCCTAAGCTCCCAAATTTTGTCAATGTAATTCCTACAATCCTTTTCGATAAAAGGTAGGCCATCATACCCCCCGCTTGAACAACAACAGAGTTAAAACTCTTGTGAACGGGTATTCCCGCAACTTCATTAATCTCAACATTTCTCATGGCGTGTGGTGTCAACTTCCTATTGCAACGAAATAGTCTAGATTTTGTGGGACTCATGGGGTGATTATGATTTAAATACACTTTTGAAATTTCCCATGACCCAACATAAGTAGTGTGTGCTCTAATTCTAGTCGAACAAGATGTTTGCATTGAAGGTTGAGGCTTCAAACAGTTTAATGCCTTGCTACCTCTTCTTCCCGCCCGTGAACACTCTATCACAATTGACACTACCTCGCCCTTCTTTCTGTCCTTTATTGATGTTCTTTTTCGTACCGGAAATCCTAATTATATACACTTCTTCCATATGTTTTGTAAAACTCAAACACCGTGTCTCTGGTATCAAATATCATGCCTACTTCCGGAACAACCACATTAACATCTTCCTCTCCGTTATTATGTTCATCTGCATCTGTTATTTAAGAATATGTATATACACACAATATTATGCACATACAGACAATATTATATATGAAAAGGGAAACATTATGGCCAAACTAGTTTATAAACTTCATACAATGATCATACCACTTACAAAAAACAAAGGAATAAAGTATTATTCATGGGGAGACATTATTATTTGAATACACGTCGTATTATTTCAAAAAAAGACAATATTAAAATCACATTCAAAAACCACTCTATGAACTTCTGAATTATGGCAACATTTTTGTAATTGTCTATACGTATTATAAAACGTTGGTTACCTACAAGTTGTCTGTACGTATTATAAACGTTGTCTGTACGTATTATAAAATGTTGGCTACCTACAAGTTGTCTATACGTATTATAAACGTTGTCTGTACGTATTATAAACGTTGTCTGTACGTATTATAAACGTTTTCTGTACGTATTATAAACGTTGTTTGTATGTATTATAAACGTTGTCTGTACGTATTATAAATGTTGTCTGTACGTATTATAACTGTTGTCTGTACATTCAAATACGTTGTTTGTGAAGCATCATTCAAAGACAACATAACAACCATGAAGAAACGACGCTACATAAACACCAACCTAGCTCAGCCTCAACTGTTTTCCCATCCGTCGTGCATTCATCGCCTAGCGTGACAGCGGGAGTGTGTTCAACTCCTTCCGTCGCAGACACGTTTGTGTGTTCATGGCCTTGCATGTCTCCCTCCGTCTTATGTTCACCACGTCGCAGCTGGCGTGGAGCTTTCACCAGGACTCTGCCCGAAAATATTCTCCCATGTCCAACGATATTCGTCGTCGGACACATACGTATTACTGGTTTCCATGGTGCTCGTCGTGTACCATAACCACGATCACCACTTGAATGAAAATGAAGAAGTGCTGCAGGTTAGAGAGAGGAAGGGTACAAACAAATAAAAAACGGAACAGACATATTGTGTGTGAAAAGAGGAAAAATAGGAGAGTGAGGAGAATTAATTCAAAAGTGAGGTGTGTTAGAAAAAGGGGTGAAGGCTTTTTGTGCTGTGTACACTGCCTCGTAACCCGGCCCGTACACATACCATTTTTTATACACATTTTGCCATCCACCATCTCGAGTACATTTGATACACATTTTGCCATCCACCATCTCGAGTTCAAACCACCTGTGACGCAAGCCTTGGACTTGGGTTTAGCTTGTCCACTAAAAAATCATACAGCTAATCGTGTTATACTGTTATGTAAGCACGGAGTTAAGGGAAATACAAAAGTGACTTCTTCACTGTATACAAATCTTCAATGTATTCCTGAAGAACATGGGGAGAGAAAATTTGGCCTTCAAACTCTTACTTTCACTTCTCTTGAGCTTTAATCAGTATTGCAGCTCGACGACAGACACAATTACCGTCAGTCAAACTCTTAAAGATGGGGATCTATTAATCTCCAACGCAAATTCTTACGCTCTCGGTTTCTTCACCCCCGGGAACTCCACCGGCAAACGGTACGTCGGGATTTGGTACCGGAAAATCCCCCAACGGTTGGTTGTTTGGGTCGCTAACAGAAACAGCCCCGTCAACGGCAAGTCCGGAGCCCTCTTCATCGACATTACGGGGAACCTCGTCATCCAAGACACGAAAACAAACATCTCTGTCTGGAACACCAGTCTTTCTTTTCCGGCGACCACCACGCCGTCAAGCAGGGTCCACTATGCTCGGATCCAAGAAACAGGGAATCTGGTCCTGTCTCGCGTTGACCAGACGGCGGCATGGCAGAGCTTCGATTATCCGACGAACACAATACTAGCCCACATGAGAATAGGATTGGTCAACAGACGCGGTGTGAATCTCTCGATTACGTCCTGGAAGTCAGCGGATGATCCGGCCGTCGGTGACTTCACGATCAGCGTCCAGAACAAGGGGAAACCTCAAGGGTTCCTGTTCAAAGATTCGACTCCAATCTGGAGACTCGGACCGTGGAACGGACTCCGGTGGAGCGGCGTGCCAGAGATGACTCCGAACATCACGCCATACATCTTCACGGAAAACGATGACCAGGTAACCGAGGTGGAGACAAGAAGGGGCTGACCCCCAAGAAAACAATTGCTAACTACTTGGTCTGTCCGAATTATCTTTATTCTTTCCCTTTTTTGCCAAGAATTTGTAGTTCACAACAGTTCTTACACATTATTACGCATTTCTCTTTTCTCCACGACACATTTCCCACTATCTTAATCGTGTATCATTTGTACTTCAGGAGATAAACATGAAACGGAGGATTGCTTTATATATATTATGTATAAATACTTTTAATTTTTAGAAAAAGTAGGATAGATATAATAAACTTTGGCACCTGAATGTAAATTGTTTTAGACCTCACTCCTAATCATAGATTTCTATCTCCGCCACTACAGGTTACAGAGGAGTATTCGATCAAGGACCCGAATATGTACACAATTGTCATGCTGAACGAATCCGGGACACTGAACAAGATCATATGGAATGAAGAAAACGGCGACGAGAACAAGAAATGGGTCGGGAACTGGTACTACCCGAACGACGACTGCGACAGGTACGGCCACTGTGGCGCGTTTGGGATATGCAGTCCGTACAATCAGGTTTCTGGGTTTGAGTGCAGATGTGTTCTTGGGTTTGAACCGAAGATGGCGGCGGAATGGAATCGGAGGGACGGGAGAAATGGCTGCCGGAGACCGGACAACGGAGACGTATGGTGCCATCACGGTGAGGGTTTTTTAAAGCTGGAAAACGTTAAAATTCCAGACACAGAAATGGCGGTCGTGGATAAAAGCATTGGGTTGGAAGAGTGTGAGGATCTTTGCTTGAAGAACTGTTCTTGTAGTGGGTATGCCAAAGCTAACATTAGCGATGGAGGGATAGGATGCATTACTTGGTATGATGAGTTGATTGATATGAGGGAGTTCCCAAAGGGAGGCCAAGATATGTATATTCGAGTATCTTCATCTCATTTAGGTAAGTTACCTTACTAATTAATCCATATAATTGACTATCCTTTTATTCAAATTGAGTCGCAAAATCAACTTTTAGGGTGCAATAGAATCACTTTATTCACTTAATTAGGATATATATATGAATATATGAATATGAACATGAATGAATATGAATTCCTTCAAAAATGTACATTGGCTTTGCAAAATATTAGAATTTAATTTAATGAAACGGATATCAATTTACATTCACTTAATTTAATTTAATTTAATGAAACGGATATCAATTTTCAAAAATTTACATTCACTTAATTTAATTTAGAATTTAATTAGGATATAAATTCTAAATTAAATTTTACTTTTGTGTGAAAATGTACATTGGCTTTGCAAATTTTTTTTAGACAAAAGTATCAACTTCATACAGTGTGCGTAGGAATTTTATTTACCGCTTGAGTTACTCTGTGCGGTCAACAACACATATAGGTAGGTTAGAAAGAAAATTGATCATTACAACACGAACATAATCAGTCATTTTCTAAAAAAAGATGACACTCCATCCCTGAGAGCTTCCTAACCCCGATCGGACGATACGTTAGAAGGATGTAAGTTGAACTATAATCTCAATCTGACAGATAGAGAGTGAGACTCTATCTCTGGTACTTGCAGAGGCCGTATGCATTTTTTAGCATAGTAACCTCTCATCGCAGTTGTCGGGATTCGAACCCGGGACCTAACCCTTGTTGAAAGGATGTAACTTGGACTATAATTAGTCATTTTCTACTATAATACTTCCGTAGTTCCGTCTCGTCTAAATATTCTCATTGAAAAATGACACGGTTATTTAAATAATACTTCATCCGTTTCATAAAATTCTTTCCGGTTTGACTTAGAAGATAGTTTAAGAGAGTGCGAATAAAGTGAAAATGCATGATTTTGGTTAAATAAGAAAAATGTAAATGAATGACAGGCGCACAAAACTTTTCAAAAGGGGGAAATGAGCAGATACTATATTAGGTTTAGAAGAATTTTCCAAAAAAAAAGAAATTTGGGACATTCCAAAATGGTAAGTGAGAAGATATTAAGAGACAGATGGAGTACGTAGTAATTAAATAAGGTAATTTGAATATATATATTTTGAGAAAAAGTTTCGATTGATTTATATTATAATATAATGAGGTTAGTGAAGATAATTGTGATGTTATAAATATATTATATTTAATGTTTGATGATTAAATTGTTATTTAATATTATGAATTGTTTTCACAAATAGGTAGAAATGAGAAATTTTATATGAGACATTCAATGTCACATTTTCCGTGAAAATGACATATACTTACTCTGATTCGTACTACCTCCGTCCCATAAAATAGCTCTCACTTTTCTTTTTGGGTCATCCCAAAAAATTGTTCTCATTTCCTTTTTTGGAAAGTTTTGTATGGCTAACATTAATTTACATCATACATTTCCACTTTATTCTCATTTTCTTAAACTCCGATCCAAATTGAAATAGGTACTGCTTTATGGGACGGAGGTAGTATTTAATTTTGAATTACTACTCCAATGTTTTATTTTCTTTTCAGCTCAATATGGAAAGAAAGATAAAGGACATCGTCGGAAATGGGTTATAATCATTTTGGTTGTGTCTCTTATTAGTGCATTCATCCTTGCTCTCTTGTGGGTGAGAATGAAAAAAACAAAAGGTATATTAAAAACTCTTGAAATTAAAGTTTTGTAATAAGGAATTATTACAAAAAAATGAACGTTTATAAAATGTCGCAGCCAAGAAATCACTAAATAGTGAGAGCATACGGTCCTATGAAGAAGGGTCAGCAATGGGGAAGCTTAGGAATGAAACTGGACACCCGCCCTCAGATCTGTTAATATTTGACCTAAACACTATTCAAGCCGCCACTGATACCTTTGCTGCTGGAAACAAGATTGGAGAAGGTGGATTTGGTTCTGTTTATAAGGTAATTAAAAAAATCATTAGCTTTGATAATATATACTACTTCCGTCCCGAAATAATCGTCCTGGCTTGACCTTCACACAGATTAAGAAAGTGAAGTTGACTTCACACTGTAGCGACACCGTTTGGCACTGTTTTGCACTGTTTGACATTGTTTTGTAAAGATTTGTTTACCAAATAAGGAAATGAGATAATTATTTCGGGACAAATCGAAAAGGAAAGCAGGACAATTATTTCGGGACGGAGGGAGTAGTACAATACCATTGGATATAAATAACAAACTAGCTTTGCCAAAAAACTACTCCATATATAACAAACTAGCAAAAGTTATGTATTTTTGCTGAAAAATTAAAGAGAACTAAATTTATCTCATTCTATTTGCCTTAATTTGATTTGACACAACAATTAGAGAATCTTCAATGCTAAAAAGTTAACGGTGCATACGTGTCATGAGAGATAGCCAATGAAAAACAATAAACAGAATATCTCTCTCCTTATTTGAAGGATCTTATAACATTTTGGTAAGTTTTTTTTCATAATGTCAAACACAATGTCTAGATGTAGACATTGTGGTTGACATTGCAGGGAAAAACTTACCAAAAATACATAAGACCGTGGAAAGACGGAGAGAGAAATGTCATAAAATCAATCTTGTGTGTCTATCTCTCTCATGCCACATGTGCACCGTGCACATTGTAGCATTGGAGATGCTCTTATTAATAAAATACGCTCTCCGTTAAAGATCTTTACACTTCCATTTTTATGAGTACCACAATTATCTTACCACTTCCTTATTTGCCTTATTTGGCAAATAAATCTACACAAAACAGTGTCAAACAGTGCTAAATAGTATCAAACGGTGTACTCTACAGTAAAGTCAAATTTATTTCCTTAAAAACTGTGAAGTCAAAGTGTCAAAATCTTTTGGAATCACGTGCGTAGTATTTCTTATTGAGTTTTAATTTGGATGTGTTATTAGGGCACGTTAAAAAATGGAGAACTAATAGCGGTCAAACGCCTGACAAAAACTTCAAGTCAAGGAACAGAAGAATTCAGAAATGAGGTTATACTAATCGCAAGATTACAACACAGAAATCTTGTGAGGCTTTTAGGGTATTGCCTACAACAAGGAGAAAAAATGTTAGTCTATGAGTATTTGCCACATAAAGGTCTGGACGGTTTCATCTTCGGTAAGTAGATACATGTCTCTATACATTCATTGATTACTGAGTGATTCAATAATTATTTCAGGACCAAGAGTTCAATAATTATAAACTCCGTCTCATTAAAATTTCTTATTTTGGATGTTTAAAAGTTTAGCCATTATATCCTTTAGTGTAACAAATTTGTGCCTGATATTATGGGGAGTATGACTGTATGATAATGATTTCAAGAGAAATAGTTGAACCTTTGTTTTTTTCTATGATTAATATATATCCCTTCCTCTCATAATTAACTTTGACACAGTTCTTTCTATATCCTTGCTACAAAAATGTCACTTTTCTTTTAGTAACAAATTTATAGTTAGGATTATTTATTTTACCTTTATTCAAATATCAATCACATAAATTTCACTTTTTTATTGTTCGTGATAATCAAAGATGGACAAATTTGATAGGACAAAGAGCTATACTATATTATTTGCTTCATAAAAACTCACCAATTTCTGAATATATATTAAACACAAGAGATAATTCCCTAAATAGGGGTAAAAAAAATTTGAAATTCTAAAATAGGAATATCATGTTTTTTATTTCTTTAATAAGAGAAATTGAATATGATTCACATTCTTTCATTTGTTGCAATTATTGGCTATTATTCACAAGGGGTCTATTCATAATTACCCTAAGTTCAAATGGGACCTTTTGCAATTATTACTAAGCAATTACAAAAATGTCACTTTGTCAATTTTAGCTATTCATTATTAAAAAGGTAGAGGTTAGAAGTTCTAAGAGAGAATTTCTCAAATAGGAGCAAAACATAGGCAAAATGCAAAAATAGGAGTATCATGTTTTGAATAGGAGTAATTTAAGTGTTTGGACAAGTATACCCCATATCCAAACCCTAAGCCCCAACAACTTTTATTTAAATGTTTAATTCATAATAAATTCGAAAAAAAATAAAAAATTCATAGAAAAATAACTAAAAAATTTATAAAATATTAATAAAATAAAAAATTTTAAAAATTATATTTTTTAAAATTTTTTAGTTTTTTTAAAAAATAATAAAAAATAGTAAAACTCCAGAAAAAAATTGAACAAATATGGATGTCTTTCCCACCGCCTGTACAACCTTCCTGCACCACCACCTCCGGGCGGTGAAAAAAATTCTATTTTTCCTAAAAACTGCCATTTTTCTGAAAATGCCAAAATGATGTCATATTTCTCTTTGCGAATGCCAACATTTTCATCATTTTCTGTCATAAATATGGCATTCATAATGAACTTGGCATTTTTTCCCCTGGTGACTGGAGATGGTGGTGCAGAGGCGGCAGAGGCGGCGGTGAATTTTATTTTATTTTTTTGAGTTTTTTTATTTTTTTATAAAAAAAATTATATTTTTTTATTTTTTGAAAAATAAATAAATAAATAAATTATTATTATCGAATAAGTCATAAATAAACTAGGTTAAGATTAAATAAGTCATATTTTAGAATTAACTAGGTTAGGGATATTAAGGGTACAAAATTAATGTTTACTCCTATTGAAGGAAGTTTTAAGTTTTACTCCAATTTGTGCAATTATGTTTATGTTTACTCCTATATTGGACAATTTCTAAAGTTCTAATTGTAAACGGGTTCTCATTTTAAGAGCTTTCTCATAAGAACTCTTCCCTATGTATGTGTGTGTACACACACATACACACATAATATTAGTTGAAAAAAAAATATAATTTTAGTTGATCGTAAAATTTGTTATTGTGAAATTAATTTGAAAAAATAGTAATACTATTAATAGAAAATTATTACTTAACGCTCACGCAGGTGATGGACATCACATACATTTGGATTGGGGAATGCGATTCGAAATTATTTCTGGAGTTGCACAAGGATTAATATATCTTCATCATGATTCAAGATTGAAAATCATTCACAGAGACTTAAAAGCTAGCAATGTCTTGTTAGATGCTTCTATGCACCCGAAAATATCAGATTTTGGAATGGCCAGAATTTTTGAAGAGGAACAAGTTGAAGCCAACACAAATAGGGTTGTAGGAACATAGTAAGCTAGAGTTTCCCATTTATTGGTTTATTTTCATCTTAAATGAACTAGCTAACTTCGTTTTTACCAATTAATTGCAGTGGTTATATGTCACCAGAATATGCCATGGTTGGGCAATTCTCTATAAAGTCCGATGTGTTCAGTTTTGGTGTTCTATTGTTGGAGATTGTGAGCGGAAAGAAAAACAAATATAAGTTCAAGGAGGGCTCTGTCAACTTAATAGGAGATGTAAGTGCATGCATCTTTATATATCCAATTCATTTCATTTTCATTTACCCCAGTGCCGCAAAGGCTCCCACCTACGGTGGGGTAAGGGGGATCGGATGTAAGCAGTCTTACCCCTGCACTAAAGCACATAGAGACTGTTTCCGGATGACCCATAGTGACTACTGCTTCATAACAAAGAAGCGCAGACAGTTTAGTGAGCCATTTTGCTTTATTCCATCATAATCTCAAGCCAAAAAATAATGAATCTTTGGTTCCATTGCAAATGATGGAAAAATGATGAATTTTGCTATATATCCAATGATCTTAACAAAATTATTAATGTATACAACAAATCAAGAATGTTGTTTAACTGACAGGTATAATGATTCTCTTATAAACTTACCATTTACCATTTTTGTTTTTGCAATTGATGTTGACTGATATTTTCAGGTATGGCATTTCTGGAATGAAGGTAGAGCTTTGGATGTTGTTGACCCACAATTAAATAGGTTATTCGATGGTAGGGAAGTTTTGAGGTGCATCCATGTCGGGTTATTATGCGTTCAACCATATCCTGATGATAGACCAAGCATGTCAGATGTGGTTTTCATGCTAAGTAATGAAACTGAACTTCCTCCTCCTAACAGGCCAGGATTTGATTTGAACACAGCTGGAACAGTTAACTTGTATTCATCTACCATGAGTGGAGGAAATCATGATCAATCTATTGGTAGTGTATCAATTACTGCAATTCAAGGAAGATAAGTATATATATTGAAAGTATATATTATGAGGGTGTAAAGATGCATTTGCAAGAATATCATCAATGACTAGTTATACTTTAAACTGTAGTTTTATTATAAATTAGTTTAGATACTTCAAATTGTGATACATTTAAATAGATTTATTATACATTTAATTGAATTAGTATCTTCTCTTTCTCTCTCAATTGCAACCAGTCCGTATACCGTGGTACCGACTCACCATGAGCATCATGCTCTCAGGGATCAAACACGGATGAACAGTAACTTTTTATTTTGTATTCCGTAGCAGGGTGATGTAACTCCCTTTTAAAAAATGTAACTCACGTAGATAGGAAATGTAAATTGAGTCAACTTTAAATGTAAATGGTCTAAATGTCAAATTGATCCTAATTACTCAATTACTTTTGTAATTAGCGAATATGTTTTATTTTTAATATTAGGGCCATAAAAATGATATAATTAAAAAATATACTATCATCCGTTCCATAAAAGTTGCAACAGTTTGACTTTCACGTTTGCCAACGCGCAACTTTGACTATAATTATATTTATTTACGTATTAGTAAACATTAAAAAAGTTAATATATTGGAAATTTACATTAATACAAATTTATTAATATTTTATACATAATATTTTTATTATATATAATATTAGAAAATCGTAGTCAAAGTAAGGTGTGTGAATAGTGCAGAAATTCCAATGTTGCAACTTTTATGGAACAGAGAAAATATATATTATAAACATTGGTTTCAATGTGAAATTGATACTAATTGACCAATTACTTTTTGTAAACAGTGAATAAGTTTTTTTAATATTAGGGCTATAAAAATGATATAGTTAAAACAGATTTTTTTCAAACATTTGGTTCAAACATTGTATGTATTATTGTTTAAACATATTACTATGAATTTTAATGGATTTTAAACATTATGTTCACACTATTGTCGCTTTTAAAATTTTTATATAATATTTTTAGTGTATAGTCGGCCCAAGGTAAACATCAATCCTGACTACGCCCCTGGTTACAACGGTTGTTGCACTCCCGCCGCTAAACACCTTTTATTTATTTATTTATTATACCCAAAGGCATAATCCTAAAGTCAAGCTAATTATTTATCCTAATTCCTACATAGAAACTCATTTAAACAAACAGGGGCATTAACTTCACATGTTTTTTTTACCGGAATAATTTCACATGTTTCTTTTTTTTTACTCACTTTATTGAGTCTCAAACCCTTATGTGACTAGCGGATTTCAAACTCGAGACCTCTCACTAGAAACGATAACCTCGCAACCAATTGGGCTAGAATGCTTGGTTTAATTTCACATGTTTCTCTCTATATAAATCATTTGTCTAAACAAATGCCTCATATACATAGAATATGTTTTGAGAAAACAATAACATTTATACTTGTACTGTTGTTACTATTTCATTTAAGCAAGACAAATTCTATGGTATTCTCAAGTTACTATACTTTGTGTATATGAATCAATTAAAGTATTGTAATCAAATAAGTTAAATATAAATAAATGATGAAGTGATAACTTTGACCAATCAAATAAGTGATATGTACGGTAGACTCACTTTTTATAGGTACTACTACGTATAACATTCACCTTTAATCAATTAAATTCATATTTCTATTATTTTCTTATTCGGCGTATTGATCAAACTTGACAAAGTAATAAGGATGGGGGCTATTTAAATTTTAAAAAAGTGGGGTAGTTTAATTTAAAAAAATTATTACTAGTATTAAATTGAGGGCTATTTCAATATTAGGAAAGCAAGGTAATTTAAAATTTTTATTACTAGTATTAAATTTAAAAGAGTAAAGTGGAAGACGCAAATTCGTGTGCATGATTAATCTCTTCTCTCTCTTTTTCTATTATGTTTTATCTTCTTTTTTGAAAATATTATTTTTTTATCTTCTTTATCTTTCTATGTTCTTATGTTATTTTATCTTTTATCTTTCTTATGTACTTATTTATTTGTATCTTATACGAAATATTAATTTTTATCTTATCTATTTTATCTTACTTTATCTATTTATGTTTCTTATCTTTCTTCTCTTTTGTCATTGATATAATGGACTGATTCATGTTAGTCAATCTCAAAATCTTTTGGGAAAAGGATAGGATGTTGTTGATGTAATACTACATCCGTCCCACTAACATTGAGACATGAAGGGATGCACACTTATTAAGAAAAGTAGGTTTATGAGATTATATTCAATTGATAAAGTAGGAATATTAATGGGACGAATTAAGAGCTCGTTTGATAACCCTGTTTTTTGACTTATGAGTCAACTTTTCCCCAAACACGTAACTTTTAACTTCGCGTGTAAGGTTAGAGTTACTTTTGTGGCTTCATTGGCTAAAGTTATTGTGGAGAACCATTTTATTTATTTTTCATATAATTTTATTTTATTTTATTAATGAAAAGTATTTTACATATAATTTTTTAATAAATCAACAGAATCAGCTAATATAGTGACTTCATCCGGAAGATGATAAACAATCTTAGGAGGATAAAAGTACATCTTTCGTCCCTTAAAACTTTGCATCTTTCTTTTTTTAGACGTCCCAAAAAATTTGTCACTTATCTTTTTAATTAATTATTTTGTTATTGATCCTATTTGTTCCCTCCTCTATACAAATCTCAACTACACAATTTTTTTGAATCAATTTTGAAAAACTTTTAAGTTACGGAGTACTAGTATTAAATTGAATGTTGTGGGTGTCGGTATACGGATTTTCCAGAAAACATGCCATTTCAGATGCAGCTAGTGCCACTGCGTCTGTAGTTGCTTAGCTAGTTGCTCACTGAAATTCCAGATACGGACAATATATTTAAGAACCAACCAATAACGAATAAGCTAGCTAAGCTTACACTGACTTCACTGAAATTTCCTAGCTTCGGGATGAGTATGGCCATGGCTGCTCAAGCAAGAAACATTGCATTACTCTTATTATTACTCTTACTTTCACTTCTCGTAAGCCAGCAGAATTGCAGCTCGACGACAAACACCATTACTCTCAGTCAACCTCTCAGAGATGGAGAGTTACTAATCTCTAAAGGAAAATCATACGCTCTCGGTTTCTTCACCCCTGGAAATTCCACCGGCAGGCGTTACGTCGGAATTTGGTACCGGAAAATCCAAGAACGACTCGTCGTTTGGGTGGCCAACAGAAACAGCCCCGTCAACGGCACATCCGGGGCCCTCTTCATCGACGTCACCGGAAACCTCGTCATCCAAGACACGAAAACCAACATATCTGTCTGGAACACCAGTCTTGATTTTCCGGCGAACTCAAAAGTATTCACCTCTGCTCAGCTCCGAGAAACCGGGAATCTGGTTTTGATGCATAATGAAAAGACGGCGGCGTGGCAGAGCTTCGATCATCCAACGAACACATTACTGGCGCACATGAAATTCGGAGTGGACCGGAAACGCGGCCTGAATCTTTCTTTTTCCTCGTGGAAGTCGGCGGATGATCCCGCCGTCGGCGAATACACTGTCAGCTTACAAATGATGGGTAAACCCCAAGCTTTCATGTTCAAAGATTCGACCCCGGTCTGGAGAATGGGTCCATGGAACGGAATCCGGTGGGCCGCCGCGTCGGAGATGACACCGACCATCACGCCGTACGTCTTCACGGACAACGCCGACGAGGTGACGGAGGGGTACTCATTAAAAGACCCGAGTATCTATTCAGTCCTAATGCTAAACGAGTCGGGGACGGTGAATCGGATCATTTGGGAAGGAGATAACGACGGCAGGAATATGCAATGGATCGGAAACTGGTACTTTCCGATCGACGACTGTGACTCGTACGCCCAGTGCGGCGCGTTTGGGATATGCAATCCGTTAAGTCAGCTTTCAAGATTCGAGTGTAGGTGCGTTCCGGGGTTTGAGCCCAAGAATGCCGCGGAATGGAACCGGAGCGACGGGAGACATGGCTGCCGGCGATCGGATAACGGGAACGAACTCTGCCATAACGGCGAGGGGTTCTTGAAGCTGGAGTACGTCAAGATTCCAGACACAAGAATGGCGCGCGTGGATAAAAGCATGGGGTTGGAGGAGTGTGAGGATTTTTGCCTGAAGAACTGTTCTTGCAGCGGATACGCCGCAAATAACATTAGCGACGGCGGGACGGGATGCATCACTTGGTACGGTGAGTTGATTGATATCAAGGAGTTCACTCATGGAGGCCAGGATTTATATATTCGCGTCGCATCATCCGATTTAGGTATGTGATGTGATTAAAGTCACTAATACTCCTCCATCTCTAATAATTTTGTCAAGTTTGACCGACACGAGAAATAATAAAATAAAAACTGTGTATTTGAGATTTGTGCAAAGGAAAGAGAATGAACTGGAATCACAATTTCTTTTCTTAAAGAGAAAAGTGACAAAGTTAGTGGGACATCTAAAAACAGAAAGTTGACAAAGTTATAAGGGACGGAGGGAGTATCACTTTTCCAAAAATCGCTCTACCCGCCCGACTAGTCCCCGCCTAGGCGCTAGGCGGTGGCCGGACGCCTCGATTTTAGTCTAGACGCTCCAACTAATTGATTTGGCGTATAGATGAATTAGTCGACGGCCTAGGATGCCTAGTTGTCCGCCCAGAGCGCTTTATAGGCTGCCTAGGTGGCTAGATTCATGGAATATATTTTTTTTTACTTTTTTAGTATCCTATGAGATATATGTACCGTTAATTTTAACAACACATATGAAGAAAGCTACTAGTGAGTAAGTGAGTAGTTATAATACTTCCTCCGTCCCGCAATTAAGTTACCACTTTCCTTTTTGGGCAATCCCTAAATTAAGTTCACACTTCCTTACTTTCCTTATTTGGCAAATTATCTACATCAAAACAGTGTCAAACAGTGCAAAACAGTGTCAAACAGTGTCCAAACAGTGTTTGAACAGTGCAAAACAGTGCACTCCACACTAAAATCAAGTTTATTTTCTTAATATGTGTGAAATCATGCCGGAAACTTAATTGGGGGACGGAGGGAGTATATTATTAAATGACAACTCTATCTTTCATGCATGTTGATGTGTATATGTGTGTGTGTATTTTTATACACACATAAACACAACATCAATAGTCATACTTATGTAAAACAAAACTGCTTGATATACACACCCTTGTACACACCTTATACACACC